GGCCTCCACCAACCTAGTGGCGATCTCCACCAACCTTGTAGCGATGGCCTCCACCAACCCAGTAGCGACGGCCTCCACCAACCTAGTGGCGATGGCCTCCACCAACCCAGTAGCGATGGCCTCCACCAACCCAGTAGCGGTGGCCTCCACCAACCCAGTAGCGATGGCCTCCACCAACCTTGTAGCGGTGGCCTCCACCAACCTTGTAGCGATGGCCTCCACCCCGCGGTGGCCTCCACCCTATGTTTGTTGCCTGCACTGTCAAGTCGCAGAGCCAAGGACAGACAGAGCTCGCCAGGTTCGTGTTCTGATTCTTGGCACAGGTCCAGTCGCAGCACAGAGAGAATTTCGGTGCAAAGACGGGGTGATCTCCACGGTGTCGTGTGATGCTTTCAGCCGACTCTATCGCCAACTGGCGAAGGAGACAGGCTTTCAGCCACCCCATGGCTTTCCAGAGAAGCTCAGAGAGGTCTTTTGTGGAGTTTGTATTGTCATGCAGTACTTTGTATCATGGGAAGCCGGAAGGTATATAAAAGCAGGTTTCAGAACTTCTGACAAGACTGTTGGAGACCGCGATGTCCTTAGGTATTGCGACGTGGAAGAGCTTTGGCAGATTTTCCCAAAAGACTACTTTCATGTGGTGTATGTCAGCAACGCGCTGGACCACACAGTGCATCCCCTGCGCAGCTTAAAGTGGTTGCTGTGGGTGCTGCACCCAATTGGAAAGTTGCAGCTCCGCCACTTCAGGACTTCGTTGGTTGTTTTTGTCCGCTTCTATTTTTATCGTCAAGCTTGAGCTGGAAGCTATAGGGGTTTTTGCTTCTCAATGGATGGGTTCCGGATTGCGGAAATTGGCTGCCGCTGCCACCTTGTCTCCCAAGCTTGTCTCCCTTCATGATTCGCTTTTGGCTGCCGCCTCCGCCTTGTTTCCCAAGCTTGTCTCCCTTCATGATTTCGCTCTTGGCCGCCGCTGCCAGCTTGTCTCCCAAGCTAGGCTCCCTTCCTGATTTCGCTCTTGGCTGCCGCCTCCGCCTTGTCTCCCAAGCTTGTCTCCCAAGCTTGTCTCCCTTCATGACTTCGCTCTTGGCTGCCGCTGCCGCCGTGTTTCCCAAGCTTGTCTCCGTTCCTGATTTCGCTCTTGGCTGCCGCTGCCGCCTTGTCATGTTCTTGCCTGCCTTTGACGCGGATACTGTTATAAGATGATTTAGGTCTTGTTTACCTTTTCCATCCTTTTCCCGGCTTTGAGTGGGATGTCTCCCAAGCTTGTCTCCCGCTCTTGCCATGGTGTCCAACTTTTCTTGAAGTGCTATCTGGGGTCTATGCCGGTATAATTTTGGCAATGCTTCATGTTCGTTCATGTTCATCAGTTTTGTCCATTGGAAGGGTGATAATTAGGGGGTCACCTCCGCAAGCGGCCATTTTGACAGACTCTTGAATTGGACTTCAATGCAGGTGTTTCATGAAATTGTGATATGTGGAGAGGAATGTTCATCCTGAGCGCTGGACAGCTTTGTCTGATGGACAGCACCAATGGGGCTTTGATGTTGATTATGGGTCTGGTGGCTTCTCGGAGTGGAATCGTTTTTCAATTTAGTAAACCTGTGCTGAGTGCCCACTTACCACAGACTTACCCATGTTGAGGGGAAGGAAGCTTTCTCATATGGAACCACCTTCATCGATGGAATCTCAGCTGCACAATTGCAAAAAATGGTGCCCTTTCACTTCTTTGTCGCTGAACCCCAAAGTCCTGCTTTTGGTCGTGAGTCGTAAGGCTGCGGCCGTAAGTCCTGCCAATGGTTTTATCTCATGTATAACTAATTATCTATACAATTACTGGTTGAGTTAGGCTCCTTTCCTTTATTGAGCTCATCTGTGTCACACAGGAATGTTACAGAGGAGCTGGAAAAGGATGGGGCGCGAACCCTGACTCATTTCCAGAAGCCTTTTGAACCTCAGCTGCACAAGTGGGTTTGCAATCCTGTAGTTTGACTTTTGCCACTAACATGCGCTAAGCCGCTAGGCTAACTTCCACATAGAGTCGTTTGTTATGGGCTGTGCAGGTGGAGGTAGAGGTGCGAAAGACGAGCAACTTTAAGGGTGGCCTTCACACTTGAGAGGAAAAAGCAAAGGGTGCTGAAGGGTCTTGGTGTTTGATGCAAGCAGTTATTGAACACAGGTCCTAAACTAGGCCAGACATGATCAGACCATATCAGACCAATTCTATTCCTTCAGTCCTTCAGACTTTCATGGTGCTTCCGCAGTGCATTTTTGCCACACCGTGGCTTCATAGTTGGATTGGCAATTCGGGGCGAAGCTGTAGCGGCAATGGCGAAGCCACACGCGACCTTGATTTTCTCTCGCCACGGTGAGTCCCAATGGAATGTAGACAACCGATTTACAGGTTGGGTTGATGCAACTTGGCAGAAGATTCATCAGGAGCAAGGACGCTACGAACGTAGCTCCTAAGGGCATCGCTACTAGAGACAAGGACACTACTGGGGGCTCCTGGATCAGAGCAAGAAGCTACTAGGGGCTCCTGGCATCGAGTCCTCGTCCGAACCCGCAAAGTTCGAGCCATTGAGCCGTGGGAGCCCAGGTGGATTTATCAGCCAAGGGTTTGGGCGAGGCAAAGGCTGCCGGAGGTCTCTTGAAAACTGAAGGCATCAAGGTCGACATGGCCTTTACTTCCTACCTGAAACGTGTCCTAGCGGCACATTGCATGAGTTTTGAGCCTGCATTGGAAAACTTAAGGCATCCTAAGACTGCCAAGAGCTGTCTTTTGAAACGATCAACAGTTGGACATATGATATGAAAAAGTACCTTTGTTTAGAAATGCTCAGAAGTCAAAGTGAGATGGTCTTTAGAAATCGATGGAAATCGCTCTTGGCAGTTCACCGCAGCCATCCATATAGCTGTGCCCAAAGCTAAGTAGCAAAGAGAAAACGGCAACCGAGAAAGGAAGCTTCAGGTGCCATCAAGACCTGTGACCTAGCACTTGAAGCTGCTGACCAACTCTATGTCCCTGTGACAAAGAGCTGGCGACTCAACGAGCGAATGTACGGAGCTCTCACGGGCCTGGACAAAAAGGACTCGGGGCAAAGGGGGCAAAGGAAACTTGTAGCCAACCCCTTTCGATTCAAGCAAGTTTGCGCTTTCTTGGCAGGCTCATTTCTGGATTCAGCTTCGTGCGGTTTCTGTGGTACTTTCTTTCAACTTACCTAGTCATACAGAAATATAATGAAATATACACAAATACACACATACCGTGTGTCCTTGTCCTCAGTCGGTGCAGGAGACGGTCAAAAAGCATGGTGCGGATCAGGTTCAGATTTGGCGCCGCAGCTTTGACATTCCTCCACCCAATATTGACGAGAGCAGTGAGTTCAACCCTGCGAAGGAGTCCAACGAAGCAGTCGCTTTGCCATAGGGAACGGTGCCATTCAAACCCACTTCAATTACGTGAAGAAGCACTTGTAGGATTTTGTATGCTTGTTGCCCCTTGACCGGTCAACTTTTTTCGCGGACATGCAGCTTGCATTTACCTGAAACGAGCGAGGAGCGAAAGTCCCTCAGACGCAAACAGAAAGTGGAGCCAAGGCTATCAGTTGCTGTTTGAACCATTGGATTCTGAGGTACGCTTCTTTGAACAAAGCAGACATTCCCAAGACAGAGTGTTTGAAGGATACCATTGCATCTTGCCTCATAATTTCATATCGCTTCAGGGATGTTGGATGTATTTGGTGTTTTGGTTTTAAACTGAAGTCATCAGATGAAGCCGTCCAGACTTCCAAGCCTTCTCACGTCTCATGTGACCTGTCAGGCACGCGTGATGCCTTTCTGGGAAGAGACCATTGCCCCAGCCCTCAAGAGCGGAAAGACAGTATTTGTCGCTGCTCATGGCAACTCGATCCGGGCCATCTTGAAGTTCTTAGAGGGTATCTCTGATGATGCGATCACAGGCTGATGCGGTTTGTCCGCATAACTCATGATAAGTCATGAACTTTTGAACCCAAAGGCCTCGAAATTCCAACTGGACGACCTCTCATGTACAAGTTGGACAAGGCCGGATTGAGCCATTGGCGCTTTCGGTGCCTTGTTGGCTTCCTAGACACACCAGCCACTTTCCAATCAGGATCTCAAGCCGCTCTCTTGTGACGAAGCAATTGCTCCACTGAAGTTTGGAAAGTATTTGGGCACCTTGGAGCACTCTGTCCGTGCCAACTGGTCTCTGTGATCTGACACCATAAGGCAACCTTGACGAAATCAAGGCTGCAGCAGAAGCAGTGAAAAATCAGACGAAGGTGGCAGCGGCTCCGGCAGGCTCACTTATTTTGAATAGGGCAGAGGCATCCTTCGGAAGTCTTTAGAAAAACCTGGTGACCGTATTTGCGTTTTCCTTGGCTTTCCTTTGCTTGTGCAAGTTCCAAAAGTGTGACAGTCCTGCGTGCAACAATATGTCCCTGCTTCATCTTACTTCCAGGAGGTGGTGGATCAGACTCCAAGATCATGGCGGTGAAAGCGCGAGAAATTTTTGACTCACGAGGAAACCCTACTGTGGAGGTTGACCTGTGCACTTCAACTGTTCCTTGCCACAAGTTAGCTGTTCGAACGAGCCAAATCTGATGTGAACTGTTTCAAACGAAACAAGTGCCACGCTAGTAGTAACAAGTGCCTTACTAGTAGTAACAAGAAAGCTATTAGAAACAAGTGCCACGCTAGTAGTCAAACTTGAAAAGGGAATCAGTGCCGAAGGGTTGAACGCCCAGCTCCTTACCCTAGCTCGGTGACTCACCAGGCGTTGTTCCGTGCTGCTGTGCCTAGCGGAGCTTCCACTGGAATCTATGAAGCCTTGGAGCTTCGAGACGGAGACAAGAACCGCTTGCTCGGCAAAGGCCACATTCGTGTATGGTACGCGTTCGATATCAGCGTGATTGTTATATAATCCAACTGATACATCTCCAACTGATACTCGTTCCCGTTCATGTTCCGCTTGTTGTCTCTTCAGTTCCTTCGTCATGAACTTTTACAACTTCTGTAGGATTGCGAGTCCTTTACTGCATGATTTGTTTTGAGCTTGTTTGTTTGTACCTCGGTTCTCCGTCAATAGGGAAAATACAAAATGAGCGTTTTCGGTGCTGATGGGTGATCAAAGGGTTTTATTCATAATGATTGACTTGTTTAACCTGAAGGCCTGCCATTTGCTAAACAAGCTGATAGACTTGACTACACCATTAAAAGCTTACGTACGTTTTTTGACCATGGTGAAGGAGTTAGTGATGAGCCTCATGCAAAGCCATAATTGTTCGCATGGCCTCTAGGTGTGCTGAAGGCAGTGGCCAATGTGAATGAAATCCTGGCACCCAAACTTATTGGCCTAGATGTCACTGATCAAGCGAAGATTGACAAAATGATGGTGGAAGAGACGCTTGCACTGACAATGGCTCCATCCAAATGATCAGGAATTATTAGTGCGAGCGCTTCTTCAAGGAAGCGAGCTATCCTGCTTCCTAGCTAGGAGCTTCCTATTGCTAGTAATTAGCTTACTTCTCCCTTACTTGATTAAGTAAGCGCCTACTTAATTAAACAAGAAGGCAGGGCCACGGGCTTTAAGACAAACAGTATCTAGGTATAGTTGTACCTAGATGCTTGCACGTGGACGAAGTCTTGACACTGAGGATCGACGGCTCCAAGAACGAGTGGGGCTGGAGCAAATCCAAAGTTGGTGCCAACGCGATTCTTGCTGTGTCCATGGCAGTTTGCCGTGCTGGTGCTGCAGCCAGCTCGATGCCCCTGTATCAATATATTGTCAAAGCCTCAGTGTGTGCTCAAGAGAAAGGCAACATGATGCAAGAGATAGCTTTCCTTACTACAGAAGTAAAAAGCAGTTGCCGTTAGGCCAAGATTGCTGGCAAGCCCACAGACAAATTTGTGATGCCAGTGCCGTCTTTCAACGTCATTAACGGTGGCAGCCATGCTGGAAACCGATTGGCGTGTCAAGAGTTTATGATCCTGCCCGTGGGTGCTTCCACCTTCAAGGAGGCAATGATCATTGGAGCAGAGGTGTATCACAACCTGAAGAGTGTCATCAAGAAGAAGTACGGCCAAGACGTTTTCTGGACGCATGTAGTATCAGCACATCGACCCGAACACATGGCTGACAAGGGAGTTCATGGTGGCAAGTTTTGTGACAACGTTGCACTTTTAGAGTAGTCACACACGAGAGCAACCACAGAGGCTTGCAACGTTGGCGATGAGGGCGGCTTTGCACCCAACGTGCAGGATAACAACGAGGTTCGAGGAAGCACAAGTTACACGGATACCGCAATGAAAACCTCAGTATGCTCCAAATTGAGGAGAGTCTTTGTTCTCTCGTGTCCATCTTCGGGATCGTTTTTTTCTGAGATCAAGACTTCGCCCCTGTTGTTTCAATTGTTCGCTGGTCAACTTGACGGGACTTCTCATGCCAGGCATTAGATGTCCTCATGGAAGCGATAGCAAAGTCAGGTCACAGCGACAAGGCCTGGAGTTTCTTGGGCTTTTACTATAGTCCGTCCCGATTGGTGTTGTGAGATCTCCACGAATTTGGAAGCTCTGCGCAGACTAATCCCTGCTCCCTACTAATTGCTAAGCTGCCCCCATATGTGTATGTCTAAGGCTTAATGATATACGCATTCGATTATTTTAAAGGGAATGCTTCCCTAGAGTTGTCGCGATCTGCTTCAAAGCCAAAAAAGGCCGCCTAGGAACTAGGAAATGTTTGCACAAAATACTTTTCGAAACACAATATCTGAGGGGAATGTATTTTCTAAAGACATATAATGTCATTGATGTTGTGGCCTTGACTTGTAAGATGTCCGTCCAATTAGCCAATAAAGGTTATCAGCAACTTGTTTTGCTGCAATTAAGGCAGTTCCAATTGTGTTCACCTGTATCAATGCGTCAGGCAACCCACGATTTGTATCAGACATGCATGAATTATTTACGCGCAACGTGTTTGGCATGTTTGGTTCAAAATGCCGTCCAGGTGAAGATCGGCACAGACGTTGCCGCATCGGAGTTCTACAGCCCGGAGAAAAAGCATTATGACTTAGACTTTAAAAACCCCACCAGCCCAGCAGACCCTTGGCCGTTGAAGTCAGTTTTAGTTTGGTAAGCTTTATTGAGGAGGAGGATTTCCTATCTTGGCTGGAAGAGCTCCTTTGACTTGTTGGCACACGACTGCGTGCCAGGAAATGAAGAAGACTGCTCCACAGCTCGCAGAATATTACAAAACATGGCTGGACAAGTATCCCTTTGTGTCTATTGAGGTGCAAGCGCGTCCCGTCCGATGTTCATTTCGTTGAAGCGTAACTTCAGCTAGGATCCCTTTGACCAAGACGACTGGGATGCATACAAGCATTTCATGGCAGAGGCGTGGGCCGAGTCAACGTCGGCATTGAATGCTTCCGAACATGGTTTGCCAAAAAGAAGATGTAGAAGCTACTAGTAGCAAGAAGCTACTAGTAGCTCCTGGCATTACTACTAGTCAATCGAGGAGCCCTTGTGCATTGGGCGTACCAGGTGGGACAGATCCGGGTACCTTCCTGGGTGGCAATTGCTTAGGTGGGTCAACGTGTCCAGATCGTCGGCGATGACCTGCTGGTGACAAATCCCACACGCGTCAAGAAGGCCAGCGCAGATCACCAATGTTTAATTGAAGACTCTTTTTTGTTTGGACTGAGATTGAACGTCGTAGAATGAGTTCCCAAAGTATTGGCGAATTCAGAAGCCACAAATGCCACGCCACAGCATGTCAATTGATTGTGAAAGGCCTTGGAGGTTGGTGCATGCAATGCCCTTCTTCTGAAGGCCTGTTTGTGTCCATTTTAGGGTGACAGATAATGGGTAAGACTGACTGTCCACCCGTTGTACATCCTTTCAATTTGTGAGAGGATGCTTTCCAAGCAAAAACAGGTTTCGATCTCTTTGTGTTGCCATGTTGGCATAGCAGAGGTGAACCAGATTGGATCTATCACAGAGGCCATTGAGGCAAGTGTTTTTGTTCACATCACGTGTGAAGAGCATTGAAGAACATTCAAGGGAAAAAGACAATTATTTCATGGTAGCGTTTGACAACCAAACCGAGCCTGATTTCTCGATTTTTTGTTGGGGTACAACATGCCGTTGGTTGACATTGCCTTGTTTGCTTCATTTTGCTTCCATTGCTTGTCATTGGCAATATCGAGCGGCAAACTGCGGTTTGCCCTCTAGGCGGCCACAATGTCTCAGAATGCAGGATGGGGCGTTATGGTGTCCCATCGTTCAGGAGAGACTGAGGACTGAACGCAGCTACTAGGAGCAAAGGACATCGCTACTAGGAGCAAGGACGCTATAAGGGGCTCCTGGCATCGCTACTAGGAGCATTCTTACTAATAGCAAGGACGCTACGAACGTAGCGTTCGCAAAGGCGGTTCACCGAGCTTCGGGGCGCCACACTGCATGCCGACCTGGTCGCAGGATTCCTTCATTGCCGACCTGGTCGTAGGCGCAAGCGTGTTTGTTACTAGTAGCATCCTTGTTACTATCAGTAAGGCCAAGAGCTGCTAGTAGCGTCCTTGCTCCAAGTAGCGATGCCGTTGTTACCAGTGGCGAAAGGCTCTAATAAACCCTTTGTAATTGAGGAATGGCAATGTTGCGGGGAGGGCGCCTTCTGATTCCCACAGAAACAGAGAGGGAGCGAGCGAGCGAGCGAGCGAGCGCGAGAAGCAACTTCAAGATTAGGTTGTCAACTTGTGCTTCAGGACAAAAATAACAACAAGAGATGTACAGTGGGTTGAGAGTAGATGGCACAATCCCCAAAAGGGGGTTTATAATGTGGATCCCCATCTAAAGGACATCTTGGGGTTTGTGCCATCTACTCTGAAACCACTGTAGGTGAACCACGGGTAGATTGCCTCTCATGTTCCCTGATCCTCTTGTGTGAGGCCTTCGAACAGGGCAGATCAAGACTGGAGCACCATGCCGGTCAGAGCGACTTGCCAAGTACAACCAGTTGCTCCGCATCGAGGAGGAACTTGGTTCCCTCGCATCCTTCGTCAAAGCCTCGGATTGTCGGAACTGGATCACATCTCAGAGTGGCACACCTCCAACAAGAAAGAAACACGCCTTCCACCCATTTGTTCCCTATTCATTTGGTTGAGGCATGTCAATCAGTTGACTCTTAAGCCGGCACTTTCTCAGGCTGGCACGAGCTTCAGGAGTCCAAAGTAAATTCCTGGGATATGCGACGCACTGGCCACTTGAAAAGTGCCTGACTCGGCCTTAGTTAACCCCTTCCTTGATCGGATTCTTTAGCAACTACCTTTGTCCCTCATTTGTGCCGTGACCATTACCTTCATTTGTTCCTTTCATCCCCATCATTTTGTACGCAATTCCTTGTTGACCTCACTTCAAATGTTGGATTTGGCTTGTCTTAGACAACCCGGAGCGTGCGCATGTATAATGATGCATCAGGTCTGGAAGGCTAGGGTTTGCATGCTCCATCTCTTTGATTACATGTGTATACTTACGGTCATTTTGGCTCAAGGAGCTGAGCCAAACTGGCTTGAAAGTTGCTGGAGTGGCGCGACCTTTGCTGCGAGAGTGCCTCGCATGTCCTTGCTGCCCCGGCCAGGCCTCGATGTGGCGGTTCACACAGGAGCTCTTGTGTTGGCGACCGTGGCATGGTTGGAGACAACCAACCACATCCGCGGGCTGGGTGGAGCTGAGCGTTGGTGGAGCAACATGCCCCTACACGCCCCTCCATTGACGGCTTTCCGCCCTACCGACCGCCAAACATCGAGGTGGACTTCAATTTCCCTTCTTGGGGTGCTGGACAAGGCGTGGGGTCGTTTGCGTGCCGGGCGATGCCCCAGCCACAGCGTGGGCACGATACCATGGACGGCCTGCGGATGCGAGGTGTGACCTCTTGTCCTTGGAGGGCTTGGCTTCGGGGATTTCGGTGCTTGACATGGTGCCCACCCACATGGGGGTGTTACTGGAATCAGTGGGTGGGCTCATTGATATATGTGAAATGTTTTGGCCTCGCGGGCCGCCAGGACTTGGGCCAACAGACCCGTGAGGCTTTCGTGGCCGACACCCCTCCTGGCACCCATCATGTATGGTCCCAATCCCAGTCCGAAAAGAACACTGCGCAGCTCGAGCTTCTCACGGTATACATGGCTATGGTATGCTATGGTAGCATGTGCGTCGAAATTTTGGCATCGCCGAGGCATCTGGTTCATAGATAACGTTGCCAGTTTCGTAGACAACGTGGTCGAAGAACCCGGGATCGTGAGCCATCATATCCATTCGTTTCTCTTTGAGCGCCATGCCCTTTTGGGAACACATGCCCTTTGCTTCCAATTGGGCGGATGCTATTTGCCGGTTGGCGACAGCAGATCCATGGTATCGATCGAACCAACTCACCCTTTGCTCAGCAAGATTTCCTTTGTGGCTGCTCAGCCCTCTATCTGATCATTCGCGTGGTAGAATTTCTGTACGTGCCGTTGGGGGCGCTAGCATGAAGGTGCGATGGGATTCTCTCCGCATGGCCCAAAAGGATGAACTGCAGTTCAGTGTGGCTGCAGCTCTGGCATGGTAGCGCTAAAAAGCATTCCAAGGCAAATCCTTGTAGGTGTCACAGATCACGAAAGGTAGCCTGGTAAGGACTACCTTGAGTTTGCTTTGCGAAGCAAAGGGACTGGCTTGAGCTTGCTCGGGACTAAAGATTGGTAGATCAATGTCTAACACCCCCACCCCCCCTCCCCCCCGCCCCCTCCCATGTGATGAATCATTGAAAAATCAATTGATTCGCCCCCCCCCCTCCACTCCCCTCCCCGTCCCCTCCCCTCGTCTCCTCCCCTCCCCTCGTCGCCAGCACTACTAAATTCTGGACATAAGGTGAAGTCACGCGCTTAACAGTCACAGCAGTACGACACTGGCCATGAGGTTGCGCAATACAGCACGAACCCTGCGCAATGAGGTCGCGCAATGCAGCTTCGATGCCGCGCGTGCGCACCCGGCAGCCTGACACAGCGCGTACTGCGTTCACAGACCATATTGCTCGACACCAACGAGCATCGATGCAACACAGCCTCTCTGCAAAGCCCTGTGGAGAAACCCCTCGCGTCGCGGAACACCATTCGACTCAGCCTTATACCCTAGCGTGGCGAAATCTTACCGCATCGTGGAGCACACCCACCATAGCGTGACGTCCATCCCTGGCAGTACCGGCCGCACCCCTCCAGCACTATCCTTACAAGGGGGTTGGTCACTGAGTCACTGCGGCTTCGACGCAACGCGCGCAGGCCTGTAATCCTGACACAGTGCGTGCAGCTGTGGGACCATAGCTGGTACACATGCGAGCGTTTACGCATTGCGGCTTTTACGCACGCCGGTTTTCACACACCTAGACACAAACGAGCGTCGACGCAACGCAGCCTCTCTGCAGAGCCGTGTGGCGCAATCTGACCGCAACGGTGTTCCTCTTGAGCCTTCTTATGCCTTCTTGTGCTCTCTGGCTTTGTTGGTTTCATCCATGATTGACCAAGGGGCACGTTCCTGAAACACCGGAGACAGTCCCTCACCAGAAAAGGTCCCGACAGCTACTCGGTCCGTCTCTACCTTTCGTGTTTCCCCGCTCAAGTAGAAATGAGTGCAAGAAGTCAACCGGGAAGTTTGTGTCCGAACCCGTGCCAATACCCTGCTACCTCCATGTACGCAATGAAATGTAATGATGCATCAGGTCTGGAAGGCTAGGGTTTGCCTGCTTCGTCTCTTTGATTACATGTGTAAATTTTATGTTCATTTTGGCCCAAGGAACTGAGCCAAACTGGATTGAAAGCCCTGATGGGTCGAATACCTTTGTTGGTATCTCCACCCGTATTGTTTATCCAGTATACGGAAAGGGGCTATCCTTTTCTAGGCCCACTTTCAGAACTGAGAAGCATAGCGCGAGAAAAGTCAACTGGGAGTAGCGTGTTCGAACCGGTGCCGATACCCTGGTACCTCCATGTCATGCAGTGAGATGTATAAGCTTCATTTGGTGGCATGCGCGTGGAAGGGCCCAAATATCTTATGACCTATGAACAGTTTTCAAGGTGAACCGCCATTGATTTTGCCCTTTGCGATTCACTGTGCTTAGCGATAGGGGGCCATTTTAGACATAGGTTCCAAAACAATTGATTTTAGAGCGGCGCCTAAACCGATGCTAAACGATACCTGGAGCGACCCCATGTGTAGAGCCACAACGCGCTAGCGGTACTAGCATTTCCTTCAGGTGTAGTTCCTGTAGCGGTAGTAGCACTCTCACTCTCACTCTCACCTCTCACTCTCACTCACTCTCACTCACTCTCACTCACTCTCACTCACTCACTCACACTCACACTCACTCACTCACTCACTCACTCACCACCGCCACCACCACCACCACCCCATCACCACGATCTCCACCTGCAGACCTCACCCCCACACACTTTTTGGTGTCTTTTGCTGGGACAAGTTGTGATACTATCGTATTTACGCGGTAACAATCTATCAAAATAGCAATTCACCGATTTATTATCACGTAGCATAGCTACATTGCAATAATGTATGAAAAATAGAGACATATTTAATAGATATATTTCATTAATTATGTATAGAAAATATTTTTTAAACATATTTATATATACAAGAATTCATTGAAATTAGTAAATGAACATTTTTTGTATATATTTAATTCTATATTTTTGATGAATGAAATATATCTTGTAAATTGTTTTATTGTAATATTTATATGTCTTTAAAATATATATATATAATGATTTATATATTTTTTTTATGATGTTAATAAAATGATATAATTTATGGAAGTTATATTTATGATATGTAGAAATTGAATATGTAATTATATATGTTAAAATTGATTAAGGAATTTAGGTTAATTTTAAATTTAGATTAAATTTGAAAAAAAAAA